TTCGTCAGGAGCTCCTTGACCTTGTCAAGTGCCTCCTGGGCCTCAGGCATCCATTCGAAACGGTCGGCTTTCTTTAGAAGCCAATAGAGGGGGAGACCTCGTTCGCCGAGGCGTGAGATAAAGCGGCCGAGCATGGCGAGGCACCCTATAACTTGCTATACCCCTTTATGTTCTGAATTAGGCCCATCCTCATTGTGGCCGAGATCTTCTCTAGGTTGGCTTTTATGCCGCGCTCGGAGACGATAACACCCAGCAGCATACCCCTCGGGACCCCGAAAATGTATTTCTTGGGGTTGAGTTTGATGCCGTTTGCTCGGAGTTTCGCGAAGGTCTGCTCTAGGTCGGCTATGAGCTGCTCAGCCCGTTTGGACTTGATCATGATGTCGTCTACGTAGGCTTCAACGGTTTATCCGATGAGGTCCCCAAAACACTTGAGCATACAATGATGATACATAGCCCCGCAGTTTTTAGACTGAATGGCATTGTGACGTAGCAGAACGATCCTAACGGGGTGGTGAAAGACGTCGTGAGCTGATCGAACTCTTTCATCGCTATTTGATGGTACGCAGAGTACACATCAAGGAAGCAAAGGGTTTCGCATCCTGAGGTCGAGTCGACTACCTGGTTTATGCACGGCAAAGGAAATGGATCCTTTGGACATGCCTTGTTGAGACCCGTGTAGTCAACACACTCTCCATTTCCCACTCTTTTTTCTTACAAGAACAGGATTGGCTAACCACTCAGGGTGATACACTTCCTTGATGAATTCGGCCGCCAAAAGCTTCGCAATCTCCTCGCCGATGTCCCTACGCTTCTACTCGTCAAAGCGACGTAGACGCTGCTTCACTAGCTTGGAGCCTAGCTTGATCTTCAAGGCGTGCTCGGCGACTTCTCTCGGAATGCCTGGCATGTCCGAGGGTCTCCACGTAAAGATGTCTCTATTCGCGCGGAGGAAGTCGACGTGCGCGCTTTCCTATTTGGAGGAAAGCGTGGTGCCGATGTGCACCACTTTGCCCTCGGAGCTGCTGGGGTCTATGAGGACCTCCTTGGCGCCCTCCATGGGCTCGAAAGACCTAGCCGATTGCTTAGGGCCGGGCGCTTCTTCGACGATCTCCCCCCGGATGGCCGCGAGCTCTTTGGAGGCGACAATCACCGCGGCGTGTTCACAGCACTCAACCTCGCACTCGTAGGCGCGCTGGAAGGAGGTGACAACGGTGATGACCCCACGTGGACCCAACATCAGATAGGTGTAGTTGGGATGGCCATGAACTTCACGTAGCATGGACGTTCTAGAATGGCGTGGTAGGTCCTGTGGAACCCGACCACCTCGAAGGTAAGGGTCTCCGTCCTATAATTGGTCGGATTCCCAAAGGTGACGGGCAGATCAATCTGCTTGAGCGGCATGACCTATTTTCCAGGTATGATGCCATGGAAAGGCACTCCGGTCGGTCGGATGCATGATCGATTGATGCCCATGGCGTCGAGCGTCTCATCATACATGATGTTGAGGTCGCTGCCTCCATCCATCAGCTCCTTGGTGAGCCGCTTCGTGTCGATGATCGGGTCAACCACGAGCGGGTATCTTCTCGGCTATGGGATGCTTTTCGGGTGGTTGGTATGATCAAAGGTGATGGCGTACTCCGACCATCGGAGGAAGGAAGGCATGGTTGGCTCGGCCGTATAGATCTCGCGGCGCGCAAGCTTCTAGCGGCACTTGGAGTCATAGGTCGCCGACCCCCCGAAGATCATGAGGCAGCCATCTGGTGTCAAAAAGTTGTTGTCCTTCCCCTCAGCGTCGTCTGCCACCGCTTGGGCTCCTTCCTATGCTCCTCCTTGTTGGAGCTACCGGATAGGAACTGCTTCATGAGGGCGCAGTCTTTGTATAGGTTCTTGACGGGGAAGGCATGGTTTGGGCATGACCCTTTGAGTAGCTTCTCGAAGTGGTCGGGGGTACCCTCGGTAGGCTTTTGACCCCCCTTGCAGTCGACAGCGGCCATGAGCGAGCCTCACGCTGCTTGTTCTTCTTCTTGTTGGGGCGATTGGAGGTGCCTTCATCGGCATCCTTGTCCTGATTCGCCTTGCCCTTGGGGCGGTCAAAAATCGCTTCGACCGCCTCCTCGCCTGAGGCATGGCTGGTGGCGATGTCGAGGAGCTCCATGGTGGTTCGCGGGCTCTTGTATCCCAGCTTGTGAACTAGGGACTCGCATGTGGTCCCAGACAGGAAGGCTCCTATAATGTCGGTGTCGGCGACGTCGGGCAGCTCGTTGCACTGCCGGGAGAAGCGGCGGATGTACTCACAAAGAGTTTCCTTGGACTTCTGTCGGCAGTTTTTGAGATCCCATGGGTTTCCAGGATGCGTGTAGGTGCCCTGGAAGTTTCCCATGAAAATCTCCTTTAGGTCTGCCCAACTTTGAATCTAGTTAGCAGAAGGTGCTCAAACCATGTTCGCGTCGAATTGTCATTATTCGCTCCACCGGCTTAGCAAGCAAGCCGGTAATCCTCGAGCCATAGTCCGGGGTTTGTTTCCCTAGAATATTTTGGGATGTTGGTCAGCGGTCGGTACCACGGTGGGAAGGCGGCATTGAGGATGTGTCGACCGAAGGCCTGAGGTCCCGGTAGGTCGGGGCTTGGGCTCCAGTCTTCACCATTGTTGTAGCGTCCACCACGACAACGGTAGTAGCCACGGCCGGCTTCCTCTCTCTCATGCACCGGGTCCACGACGCGCCACCCGCCGGCTCACGGCGCCTGGTGGACAGACATGTCCTTGACATGTCGTTCCGAGGGCGCATGCTGACTAGCATTGAGCTTGCATCACCAAGACAGTGAGCTCTCCGCCTGCTGCACCTCCGCGCGCTTGAGCAGTGTGCGGATCTCGCGATGGGCCCGATGATCCTCGGTGTCTCGGGCTCCGGGAGCCCTCGGAGCAAGGCCGCCGCAGTAGCGATGTTCTGGCTTGCCCAAGCGAAGTGCGGGAGGGCTCCATCGTCTTTAATGATCCTCCAGCTCATGTCGCGGGCCATGGCGCGCGCACACCCACTGTCTCCACGGCGCTCGATCTCTCGCTTGAGCTGGAGTCATGCATCCTCGAACTCTTGGTGTTGCGCCCTTAGCTGTTCCACCTACATGCGAGGAAGGGCCCCTGCATCTTCCTCGACCTCGTCGTTTGGTGGGGTAGCCCCTCCCTCGTGGATGCTTTCGACACGTCCCTCGGGGGTACCTGCCATAAAATATTCTCGCGAGGGGTGATGGCTCCCCAAGCTAGAGTCAGAGTCGAAGGGCAACTCTGAATCTCCCACGAGAAGGTCGAGGTAAGATTTTGTGACGTATTCGGTCATCCCCACGAACTCGTCGTTCGTAGGGGGTGGGTGCATCCGCTACGCCACGAGGTGGCTAACGGTTTATGCGGTGTTGCGTAGACCAAACGGGAACATTGTCGGGGCGCTCTGGATGAGGTATTCTGGGGAGAGCGGTTCTCCTCCGGCAAGCTACGTCATGATGTTAGCGAACAAGAAGGTGAGGCAGCGTAGGTCCTCCCGAAACGGTCAGGGTCCCAGGAAGGCATCGAGCTAGCGCTTTAGCCTCCCATAATCGAAGCCAAGGAGCTGGTCGCTCCCAGGGGCACGGGCCTCCGACACGTGCAGCTGTTGGTCCTCAAATGCCTCGACGATCGCATCGAGGCTGGCGGAGTGGAGAGGATGGACTGTGGCGGGAGCCTGTGCCAGCTCTCCCTCCATCGTGACGATGAAGTCTAGGTTCCTAAAGCGCACGTGCACGCCCGGGACCCAGCTGACGCCGTGACTAGCCATCCGAGGCCTGATGTGGACGTCGAGACGCGCAAAAAGCGCCTACCTGGCGCGCCAACTGTCGGTGTTTCGAACCACCGGCTACTAAATTTATATCTGCATGTCTGGCCCGGATGGTGTGCTCAGAGGACACAAGGATTTATAATGGTTCGGGCGGAATGTCCCTACGTCCAGTCTACTGCTGCTCGTGTTACCGGCACTAGTTTATTGTAGGGGTTACAAACGGGCGAGAGAGGGAGAAGTTCCCAAGTCTCTGGTGAAAAGATCGAGTGGAGTTGAGTTTTGTTGAACTCGTCAGTTGTGAGCTTGTTGCCCCTTCTTGGGGCATCCTGCTTCCCGTTTTGTAGGCGAAGGGGAAGGCGCAAGTTACAGAGAGAGAAAAGGAGAAAAACGAGGGACAAGGCCTCCAGGGCCGCCGCGTCCTTCTTCTCCTTCATGCGGGTCCCGACACTATAGATGGTGACGGTGACGGCTCCGCATCGGGCTCCTGTTCACCACTGGTGCCATGACTCAAACATCATCAACTGGTCGTGGCGTCCCATCCCGTACCAGCGGATGGCGTGGTGAACCAACGTGCCTGTCTACGGCCGTACGGGGAGTAGGCAGCATAGCGACCACGCACCCATCACTGTTGGCGATGTGAACCCCCGAGCATGGCCTGACGTGGCCACGGGTCACGTCGAGACGTGCCTGCTTCCCTCCGGGTGTCAGAAGTTTGACCCTGGGGTCGTACCTTTAGACCCGTAGTGGTTGGAGGCGGTATGGGTCCCCGTCGGGCGAGACGGAGCCCGTGCCCTCAGGGTCGGGCGAGACGGCTCCCGTACCCTCGTGGTCAGGCGACGACACAGGGCTCGTGCCCAAGGGGTTGGGCTAGACGGAGCCCGTGCCCTCAATCAGCCTGGGCATTCGGTTAACTGAAACCGATCGGTTCGGTTCTTCGGTTTTATAGTAAATTCGGTTACCTAGAAATTGCTAACCGATCGGTTCTTTTGAAAAGTGAGAACCGAGCAATTCGGTTTCGGTTCTTTTCGGTTCGGTTTCGGTTATCACCGAACTAACCGATTCTAAATTGAACATCCAGAAAATACATAGATCGATGACCAAATTCAACAAAAAGAAGAAGATGTAGATCCATTCGCCTCTGTCGTGCACATAGGCAGGCGATGCCGATGCTAGAGAGGGCCACCGCTTACGGACCTCCTCCCTATGCGCTGTAGGGGGCCATTGGACCTGCACCCTGCACGCGCGAAGGGGGCCACCAGACCTCCACCTGAGCACCACCGGGCGCGTCTGTAGGAGGTCTGCCGCTGCCGCGCCTCGCCTTGTTCGCCGCTGCAGGCTACAGTGGCCCTCGCGCGCCGCGTGCAGGAGAGTTGGATGGAGGAGAACAGGAAAGGGAGCCATGGCCGCGGCCGCGGTGGGCGCATTCAACAGCACCGAGTGCTCAGACGCGCCGGCGGGGGCGCCCCCTGGGAGGGGGAGACCATGAGGAGGAGCCAGAGCGCTGTGGCGAGCAGCAGCGAGAGCAGCGCCAGCAGGACCGCGGCAAGCGGGCACTGCCGCAGCGGGACGAGCGCGAGCGGGAGGAGCGGCGGCTGCGGCGGTGGCGGATGCAGAGGTGAGGAAGCGGCGTAGTGGGGCTTGGGCATTGGATTCGGCGGCTGTGCAGGGGATGAGGGGAGTTGGATGTGTACGAGCTTTGTCTCTAGGGTTTCAAGGGTGCTCTTATATATGATGGTAATTGGGTTGGCTGTTCATTCATGGGCCTCCTATCTACTGGGCCTGAGTTGCTTCGGTTCTTCGGTTAACTGAGCCCAGGAACCGAATTGACCCGGGTTATTTTGGTTAGTACAAACCAGGAACCGAATTAGGAACCGATTTTTTCGGTTTCGGTTACTTCGGTTTCGGTTCCAGTTATTTCGATTCGGTTTTTGGTTCTTGGTTATTTTTGCCCACCTTGAGTCCTCAGGGTCATGCGAGACGGCTCCCGTACCCTCGGGGTCGGGCGAGACGGCTCCCGTACCCTCGGGGTCGGGCGACATAGGGTCCGTGCCCGAGGGGTCGGGCGAGACGGCTCCCATACCCTCGAGGTTGGGCGACACGGGGCCCGTGCTCGAGGGGTCTAGCGAGGCGGAAACCGTCCCTTAGGGGCCGGTCGAGACTGAAATATGTCCTTGATTATCTAGGCGAGTTTGTCGTCCACTGTCCTCAGATCCCTTCTTCGGGTATCCCTAGTACTGATACCCGGCAGCGGGCGCGGGCGTATGGGGGTACGGACTGAGAGAGAGAGAGAGCTGCGGGAGGGGGAGGAACTAGCGGCTGCGGGCGCAGAGATGCTAACGAGAGAGAGATGCGAGAGAGGGAGAGGAACTAGCGGCGGGCGGGCGCAGAAGAGATGGGAGAGAGAGAGAGAGATGCTGGAGAGGGAGAGGTTGCGGGAGAGGAACTGGCAGCGGGCGGGCGAGAGAGAGAGATGCGGGAGAGGGAGAGGATGCGGGAGAGGCTGTAGTGTGGAGAGTTGGGCCATTAAATGGGCCTTATTCTCTTTCTCCCTATTTCATGACCCCTAATCTCCTATTTTTTCTATTCTTTTAAGTATTTATGCATGTATTAGCTATCGCATAGAAAAACGCCTTGAAACGCCTAGGCTCGCCTAGGCTCTAGGCTGTGGGTCGTCGCCTAGAAACCGCCTAACGCCTTTTTGAACTTTGTGCAATACCAGCTGACCAGCGGCTTTGCTGCGCCCTCCATGGAGGAGGCCAGCGGAGGATATATGTATCATGAAATAAACATTGTTATCTCCCTCAATAGTATGCTGAGAAGGCAAAACCTTGTGATGATCCTGTTTTGCTTTTGTTAGTTGAGACATTGATCGAAATTTCGCCTAGACAATTTTGTAGAGTCACCTAGAGATGCATGAAGAAATATGAAGTGTGCAGCCAAAATTTGAAACAGTTCGAATCCAAAAGGCAGAAATGATATACCACAACGTAAGTCTCTTAATGGGAGAGCAGGGAAGTAGATAAAAGTATTCACTCGGAATGAGCTTTTATAGCTTGTTCATTGTAGAGAATTCTTTGCTTGGATCCTAGAGAGAATACTGGGATCATGAGCTTGGTCAGTGGACACACCAACATCATGGATCCAAGGATGGCCTGACATGAATAAATTTCTTTAGTAATGAATGAAGTACAATTTTTTTGTTGCTAAAACAATTCTAAAAACAAAACCTATGGTAAAAAAAATAGATCAGAAAGACAAAAAAAACCTAAGGGAAAGTCACCTGAGTGAAGGTGTAGGCTATACTTAAGATATATTTACACGGTACTTCATGTCCTTTCAGATGCTCTGATAGCAAGGGCAAAGCAACTTTTTTTTAAAAAAACTTGGCACATTCATATATCTTAGGCTAACATGGGGTGCCTCTTATGCTTGCATTGTGCTATGGCCTATAAAAATGAATGTCTATTTCTAATATTCTTTGTTGAGCTCATGCGTTAAATCTAGCTTACTAATAACTTATGATCATATATATTCAAGTTAATTTGGATTTAACTTCCATCTGCTAATATTCTACGGATATCATGTTTCTCCCTACACCTCGACATGCCCTAATTTTAAAATAGGTAACATAGAAACACACATATTTTAAATAAATTTATTAGTTTACTAAGCATACATATATATGCTTCCTGATTTTTCTTCTCTATGGCAGGGCCAAACAGCTAACATCAAGGAAACCAAACAGAAGGATATTTTTGGTGTACAGGGCAAGGCAATGTGGACTGCTGCTTTTGCTTATAGTTGTGGATACAACTTTTATTAACTGATGCTCTTACTATGCAACATTTGGTCGAAAACATGGCTTTCGACAGCCTAGAAATTTTTTGGGCAACATAAAACAACATAGATGATGCGTATATACCTTTTGAGGAGAAATATTATGTTCACTGCCTCTGCTGAGGCGTACTATATTAGTTTATGTAATGGCAAGGTTGTAAGCAGTATGCTTTGTTGAGAATTTCTCACTGCCCACAATGTTGCCATAGTTCTTCAGTTAAGGAACTAAATCTTAGCTGCTAAATTACCATCCTGGTTGCTGAATATTACCAATCTCCAATAATACTTGTGTATATGAGCATTACCTCCTTAGCAACCAACAATGGCTATCCAACGAAAGGAGTTTCCTACTGCTACTCCTTGCGCTGGATAGAAGAGGACGACCTGTTGCTAATGCTTGTTGGATGGATAAGAGATAGAGAAACTACTGCTGGGCAGAGCAACTCTCTCAACACAACATGATTCTTCATCTCCAATAGATGCTCTCGCTTGGGGATAATTTGACCCAACAAATTTGATTACTGGGAATTTTACTTATAAAGTAAGGAATACACATGTATCACTTAGGATAGTTTCATCCAATGAATTTGATTACTGGGAATTTTACTTATATAAAGTAAGGTCCTGTTCGCTTGGAGGAATCTGGATGGTTTTGGATGAATCTGGAGGAATTTGTGAGAGGAAAACACTGTTCCGAATGAAAAAAGAAGCGGATCAAGCCATGTTTAAGAGCACGCGAACGGGGCCTAAGGATCAAAGCCACACACTGGCCATACGCGGCAAGGCACATTTCTAGTATAATACTAGTCACGCAATTGCGCTTACCCATATATAATTATGATGGCGTCCGGTCCAATTTTTGCAGGCCCATTGATATTTTGGAGAAAGATGGGAGTGGAACATCTTTTAAATGGGCCAGCAGGCCGGGCTATTGTAAACACACCATTGGTCACTGATGACTACATGTGAATGTGCGATGTAGCATGGTCATGCATGCATGGACCGTAACGGGCCTTAAGTGATGACCTGATCCATGCTTAGCACTAACTATTCGATGCTTGTGCACTCAGGATGCATGGATCTTTCTAAAAAAAAAAACACTCAGGATGCATGGATCAATCGGAGGTAGGTTGAGAAAGGGATTTTCTTGGAAGTAGGAAGGGGGGTTTCCTTGCTGTCCAATCTGCATCTCATCGATAATGATTCCTTATCTGCCATTTCGTTTTCCTTGTTACTTTGTTAGGTCCTGACCTAGCTGCCCCTGTGATCTAACTCACTTTGTTTGTTGAATATAATAAGATGTAGGTATATAGAGTCTCTATCTTGGCTTTCCTTGTCCTCAATGCTAGCTTGAGCATTTTCTAGTAGGAGCATAAAGATTGGCTGGGCACACAGCCAAAAAGCAGACCAGTACCACGAGTGACTGCCCAGCTAACTGTTTCTATGGCTTGTCCGGCTGCTCGAACCATCGATGAAGTGAAGCGGAAACTAGAGAACGATAATGTTCGTGGCAGCAGCAGGACATGCATGCACACATCAGAGCAGAATTTTTGCGTCATCTTTGCATCAGCAAGTGAGGCGTCCTCAAACTGAGCGGCGTGCATGTACAAAATTGTTGCGTGTAGTTGTACTAGTCCTCAATTCTGTACACTATACTTCTCCAAACCGGGGGGGGGGGGTCCTCCTCATCTCCACACAACGATACGACGCAGCTCCACACGGAGATATAGGAGGGTTTCCTCCTGGAAAGCCTCCATGCCTTCATCGAAAGGTCATAGTTACTTTAAACGCTCCGAGAGTCACCAAGACACTATGGCAAAATGGCTCTAACTCAAAAAGCTCTCAAGATCTAAGGCTTAACACTCACAAGGATGAACTATAGTGTTTGTCCTAGTCCTAGCCTTGGATGTGATCTTGGTATTCTTAAGAGTGTTGATGGTGTAAGCACAAAGGGGTAGAAGCATCAAAATTAGTAAGTTAGTTACTCACAAGCATTACACCAAACACCTTATGTGTATTCTAGAAACAGCCCCATAGTATCAATTGTTCTAACATGGTGCTATCCAAACTTCAAAATAAGGAATATACTTACAAAGATCAACTCACTAATACATCAATCCCCATCATCAACATATCAAAGAACCCATGCATGTCTCATATGGCAACTCAATCATACACTATGAACTTGAAGAAATAGCACCAATAGCAAGCAAGATACACTACGTGAAAAACGATTTATAGCAACAGGATAAATTTTTTGTAGGGGCGGCTGGTGATGGAGCTGCCCCTACAGTGACGTGCTCGGGAGCCCAGAGACCAGTTGCCCCTACAAATAAAACAGTAGGGGCGGCTGGTGATACGAGCCGCCCCTACAAATGGGTCTGATTTGTAGGGGCGGCTCCCTCACCAGCCGCCCTCGGTGTTTCTATTTGTAGGGGTGGTTGGTGATTGAACCACCCCTACAAATGCCCCGCGTATAATTACCTGCTATTTGTAGGGGCGGCTCAATCACCAGTCGCCCCTACAAATGACCCACATATAAAAAAACTACAACACCTTCTTCC